GCATGTCCGATCATAATTTTTAGAAATCATATTTTCCGCTTAAAAATGAAAATGTGTGTTCTTCCTCGGGCAAAAATACCAGTGGTACACATTTCTGAACAACCTTTGGTTTCAGTTTCCTTTGTCTTATCAGACTTGACTGGGTTAGCTCTCATTTTATATCCAGAAATATAAAATAATTTTAAAGTAGCTTTTTTCTACCTAGTTACATCAGCGAGGAAGATCTTACTGGTTTGGAATTGTTCTTGGTTCCCAGAGCCTTTTGGAAAACTAATAATTCCAAAATGTGATTTTATGTTACATAAACAAATTAGTCTCAAAACAACTTAGAACTGAGCTTGAACTAATTCTTCCATTTCTCTGATTCAGAATGATTAAGCGCGTGTCCCTGAGTCTTGAATTTCTTTATAATCCTGTTTTTCAGTGGTGCTTATTCTGCACTTTCAATCTCATAGTCATAACCCACTTGATTAGCATGGTGGAAAGCGTCAGACCATGAGGAGGTATGGAGAAGGTACTGATGGATTTATTTTTTTTTTTAAGAAAAAGAAATGAGCTTTTGAGAATAACATTTAGAGGACAGATCGGGGGGAAATACAAAATAGGAGTTCGACTTGCAGGAAGAAAGAGCAAAAGAGGAGATGGAAAAGGAAGAAGAGAGAAGGATACAGAAGACATCTCAGAAAAATTGAGTTGAATTGCTGTTGACTCTTAACACTGGGGAGAAGATGAGGAATGAAGGATAGAAAAACAGAAGGAGGAAGGTATAGTAACCTCTCTAAGTAGCTTGAAACAGAAACTGGATTATTCTCTAGAGTTCAGCACAGCTCACAAAGGAGCATAGATAGCCTTTAATTGCTAATAGCAAGGGATTTAATAGCAAGCGATGTAGCTTGTGTGTTCAGACACAGTCACGTTTCATCACTCTGATCCTCCCTTCTCCATAAAACAAGACACCTTAACTCGGAAACGTGGTCCCACCCCCAGCCAATTTTTACGGGCAGATGTGCTGCAGTAATATGCCAACACATGTCCTGTTTCCTTCCCCCGTGGCCATAATGAGAGCTCTCATATAGGAGTTTCTAATTTACTCTTACCCTGAAGGATAACATAAGCAATATGGGGATGTTGTTAAACATGGCATATGTTGTTGCAGTGAGCTGCTGTCTCTTTACCAGTTCCTTGGGTGAAAAGTGACTTGTTTCCTCAAGGCTTCTTGTGCAGGGTATATCAATTGGTCATGGAGAAAATCTTTAGAAGAGTTATGACAAGACATACTAACAAAAAAACCCAAAACGTAATTGCTGGCATCCAGCCTTACAGTTCAGTGTGGGAACTTCTCCTTCCCAGAGGATGGAGGGAGAGTAGTATAAACTCATGTACAGCACCTCTTTACATACACAAACATAAATAATTAGAGTTCGTTTGTGTCTTCTTGGAAGTATAGTTAGTATCAAGCCTTGGCTCTATTCCACTATTGCTGTTTTCTTTATGAAAAAATAAATGTGTGTGGCCGTAAGTTAAATTTATATTATAAATATGCACGATTAAAATCGACCCTGTTTGCTCATGTGCCAAAATTGTCCCAGCAGGGGAATGTGAAGAACCCAATTTATTGCTATGGCTCCTTGATTCTTCTGCTCCTCCGGCTCCAACCGCGGCTCTGGCCAAACCCAGGCTGGAGTGGAGCAGAGCATTTCTGCCGTCTGATCAGGTGTGCAGTGCCCAACAGGGACAGCTAGCAGAGTCGCTGGTGCCACTGGCTTTGTACCAGGGACAAATTCCTCTCTCATGGGAAATGTAACCAGATTATGCGCCCTTTAAATTATTGCTCGCTGGGCAAAAAACGGTGCCGCCCCCCTGCAGCTTGGGATTCGGTCCCCTGGGACGTTCAGGGTGGTGGGAATGGTAGCAGAGGTGAGCTACCAAGTACCTCTAGCAGCATACGACTCACCAGTTACTGCAGACCTTCCAGGTTGAATAAAACCTTAAAACGAAGCTTATAATACACTGTTGAGATTTTTCCCGTCTCAGGGGTATCTGCAATGCTGGACACATGTAATGCATTTTGTTGTGCTCATTTGCAGCTTGAATGGCTTGTGGGGGTCAGCAGCAGAGTGCAGACTTTTTCACCCCTTGAGCAATGAAGCATTGAGTAGAAGTTATTATTACCAATTAGCGGTGGCATTATTATTACCAATTAGTGGCTGTATGAAGCAAATCATTAGTCTTAGTTCAGTTATTAGCAGCCAGATGTTCATGAAGCGTGCCATGTGCAGCTAGCGTTGGACCTCAGCAGTCATCATCGAGGCCAGTTGCTGAATTTGTGACGTCTCCGTGCTGTCCCCGCATGGGTTTTTGTGGTCCCCCACCAAAAAAGAAGTGTGTCTGGAGCCAGTGTGGAGGGGTTTTTTTGTTGCTGCCAGTGTTGTGTACCTAATGAGTGAATAAAAAAGGCAATTTCAATCTCTAGACGAGTGTTCTGAAGCCTTTAATACACTGAATTCATGATGTAAAGCCAAAAATTAGATTTCCAGTTTTGTTGTTGTTGCAGCTTCATTTGTAAGAGCAAAGCTGCCATGTCAGAGAAGGGGAAGTTACAGTGCAAATTACTCTTGATCAAAAGTATTGTTTCTCTAGGACTCCTGTTTTTGAAACCCTTAATAGGCAATATTTCCACATACCCCTGAGTTTTGCATAATGACTTTACACAAGACATTTTAGACAGCAAGCAGCATGAATTATGTTCTATTTAAGAACTTAAATTGCACTTTTATACTGTGTAATAATTTAAAAAATTAGGAAGTTAATGGGAAAAAAATGGAATTGTATCTTTAGCATTACTTCCGTATTGAACTATGTTTTTTAACTTCGGTGCATTTTGCAGGGGGATATAACTGTTGCTCTATAACTACATAGAATAACTAATAAAATAAGAAAAATAAGAATAACTAATAAAATTCCGATACACTAAATACTTATTGCATAGAATTGACTTTAATCATGTAAATAGAATAGGCATTAGAAATCTTTTTCATGTTTCTCGGAGTAATGAGGAGAGGGCTGGAGTGTTGTTTTCTCCTTCAGTGATTCAGATGTCTTCTGATTTTCAATATTAGTGAAGAAAGGATTTGACTGCCAATTTCTTTGAGGAGAGTTTAAAGCAAATGAGTTGTAGGATGGCATCAGTCAGGTTGGGTCAGTCTGAGCACTAGTTGGGTAGGGACATCTGGTGGTGCAATAAAGGAATAATTGAACACTTGCAACTCAAAGTGCAGTTGCATTGGAGTGATTAAGGCAAAAACATCATTATGCTCATGCTGTAATTACTTTTCTGTTTTGATATTATTCTAGAAACACTTATGCGCATGTTTACATTTCAGTTTGTGTATAGTTTTAATTTACTGGAAAAGAAAAGTAGAAACTAAGGCCCTATTCTTGAGCTGGCAGCTTGCAGTGTTGAACACCCTTAACTCAAAGGGCATTTAACTTGCAGTCAATTGGAGGTTTAAAATCAAACTCGTGGTACCGGACCGTGGTTCTGTGGACAGAGCAGGTATATGTAAACCCTGTGCATTTGGGCTTTGTTTGTAGTTCTGTCAGTGATTCACTGTGATCTCTGGGCAAAGGTGATTTCATTTGCTTCAGTCCATCACTCACCAATTGTTTCAATCCATCTTTCTGTAAAACTGCTATGATGATTTTCAGCTTCTGAATTCAGGCAAAGAATCATAAAAAGTAAAATGTTTATGTGTCTTTGGTTACAAAGTTCTATATTAATTAAAAGTACAATGAAAAATTTTATTTGTGCAAGGTTACCTGGAACCCCTATAGATCATATATACATGACCAATATTTTAGGTGTAGTCATTTTAAAAGAGAAAGTCCTAAGGACTTTTGTCATCCTTAGGATGAATTTTCTACTTATTTAGCACTGTGCACATGGTAACAAAACCAAGTCCTTGGAAACATACGTGTTGAAGGCCATGCCCTTGGGAAGACTTCCCAGGAGTGTTTAATGCTGTGACGTCTTAACCAGCACGGCACCAGGCACTCACCTGCCAGGATGAAGCAAGACTCTGTTGATCATCTTTCATCTCATTAAAAAAGCCATCAGTAGCATGCGTTGACCATGCATGGTGTCTTCTGGGAGATGGTGTCACATGCTCTCGGGAAGGTGCAGGCATAGACTTTCCAGGGACATCTTGGTCTTTGCAGGCAGAAGTCAAAGGATTGTGTTCAACCACTGCTGCTTATGAAGCTTTTGCAACTGCCATCCTGTCTTCTCTTCAGAGGAGATGTGTTCTTGAAATGATGGTGTTGATAAGTTACCAGTTTGTGCTTTATGTATTGTGTCAGGAATGCATTTTTTACCATGATGTATTCCCCGTGCAATCCTATAAAGAGAAAAAGGGGGAAAAATCTCCAAGTATCTGCTCTTTGCTTTGCTACCAACATGACACTGGTGCTCTGAGAAGTCTTTGAGGAAGAATCTGTAGCAGCTTCTTTCATCATTCCCTGGGCAGAAAAAGTCAATCACCTGAAACTTTCACAGCCAATTATGGACTCTTTACACAAGGAACCCTATGTTCTGTAAGGAAGGATGTATATAATCAAGCTCAGAATCAGAACAACTGCTACATAATTAAAAAACTGGGACTTTCAGATTGAGAGTTTTCTTAAAGTAATGAGCTGCAGAGATCAGCAATGTGTGAAGTAGAACAGTTTATCTCAAAGTCAGTATAACTATTGCCTGCAGCTCTTCACAAGAGGGTGGGTTTTTTATTGAGGTCCAACCCTCCTTTCTGTCCTTACAGTAACATTTCTGTTTCGTAAAACTCATCATGACTTTCTTCCATAAAGTAACAGTTCTTTGTCGCATGAAATCTTCCATTGTCACCCCAGTGATTCTGTCACCATCCTTTAAAAATTTCTCTGCTCTTGGTTTGGATAAAAGAGAGAAGCACTGGCATTTGTGTGCTGTGCCCTTTGTTTCTGAGATGTCGCAAGGCTGTGGTGACAACTGTGAAGTTGGGGATAGCCACAGAGTTGTTACAGACGTGCTGTTTTCCGTTAATGAGAAGCTGGTGTTCATCTGCAGCCCTTCTACGTAATATTTAATCTATAACACTTTATATTGCAAACAGCCCATTATAGCAATAACTTTTTTTTTGTTTCAGGTGCAAAGATGGCTTGAAAGGATTTACATACTCTGCACTAAAGTAAGTAAAGTTTCTGTGAGTATGTAGCTTAAAGTGAAGATTTTGAGGAATTGTGCACAGTGACAGCTGCACTGTATGAAAAGAGTTTTCAGGAGAAAAATCATCGTCTTGTAAAACTCTTCCAACTTTGGGGGTATACAGCATATTTTGAAGAAGGCATAATATGCTGGCACAGGAGGGATCTTCTATATTTGGGACCGTTATTGAAAGGAAATGCAGACATATGGTTGCATGTTTTTGAAGGAGCATTAATTTTTTATCTTTCTAAAACTGGGATTCGTGATTCATAGAATCATTGAATCATTTAGGTTGGAAATAACCCTTAAGATCATTGAGTCCACTGTAAACCTAACACTGCGAAGTCCACCACTAAACCATGTCCCTAAGCGCCTCATCTACACGCCTTTTAAATACCTCCAGGGACGGTGACTCCACCACTTCCCTGGGCAGCCTGTTCCAAGGCCTGACCACTCTTTCAGTAAAGAAGTTTTTCCTAATATCCAATCTAACCCCCACCCCTGGCACAACTTGAAGCTGTTTCCTTTCACTTGTCCTTTTGTTTGTTACTTGGGAGAAGAGACCAACCCCTGCCTCGCTACAACCTCCTTTCAGGGAGTTGTAGAGCGCGATGAGGTCTCCCCTCAACCTCCTCTTCTCCAGGCTAAACAGCCCCAGTTCCCTCAGCCGCTCCTCATAAGACTTGTTCTCTAGACCCTTCACCAGCTTCGTTGCCCTTCTCTGGACACGCTCCAGCACCTCAAGGTCCTTCTTGTAGTGAGGGGCCCAAAACCGAACACAGGATTCGAGGTGCGGCCTCACCAGTGCCGAGTACAGGGGCACGATCACCTCCCTCCTCCTGCTGGCCACACTATTTCTGATATAAGAAATTCATTCGAGATGTCCTCAACTTGCCACTAGACCTTGTGTCTGCCCTAGTGGTCCAGGCTCTCCTAGAATTTACTTCATGATGGGACCCTTTGGTGTTACTCACTTACTTGTAGTTATACAAAGTTCTCCCATCTTTGTTTCTTGTGTCAAAAGTATAAAGACACATTATTCTTATCTGTCCCTTACATACTCTGCTACCTGTCTACCACTCAGACAGCCCAGTGCATGGACAGTGTCAACTCACAGGTGAAGAAAAGAGCTGAAGTCAAGCAAGACAGACTTGCTGTTGCTAGTAGCGGAAAGTATTTTACAGAGTTTTCAGCTATGAAACAGGTGTGGAATTTGATATAATGTGCCAATAGTTAAATAATGCAGTCTATAGTCCAGAAATAAGGACATGAAACACTCTGCACTTTGGCAACATGCAGAAACAGTGCTTTCTGAAATCACCAGTCACATACCAAATGACAAAGTTTTTATACCTTCATCGCCCTCGGCAAGTCTACCACAGTACAGTGTAATTTGGATTATAGTGCAAAGTGCTCGGAAACATCTTGCTGTTATGACCCCTTTTGCCCTTGATATACAATAATTCTACACCTAAGATGAACCGGTACATTGACAATACCAACTTCTGGGTAAAGAAAGAGAGCTGAAGATGAAGCCAAGCAAAACAAAGTTGATGCTCTTGGTGGGAGTGAAAACATTTTGAAGATTTTACAAAATAGATATTTTATAAAAATATTATAGTAATCATCAACCTTTATGTAACCCCATTTTGCTGGAGATAATTGAGATATTTCATGTGCCTTTTTGTTTTCTTATTTGGTGTTCTTGCTTAGTGTGAGAGATGGACTTCCCCAGTAATGTTTTTGTTTCTAGTTTAAAAAAATTCCTACCAGCGATTGTGACCATTATCTGAAGTTTAAATATATGTTAGTGAATTGATCGTTTCAAAGAGAGACAAGGTTTGGCAGCTGTATAGGATGCATTTTCTTTTGCAGACCTGTGGGTAATAACTTCAAGCTTGTCTTAAATCCTTTGGAGACTTAAATTGGGCTTAATATATTTATTTGAGCTATTTATATAATTGTTGTTTTGCTCTGTTTTGTTTTTTCTTTCAGGTTCATTGTAGGGAAATCATTTTCACCTGAAGCAGTGTTTTCAAAAATAGATAAAAAGATAAAGCATTGTGAAAAAATACCGCAGCCAATGAACATACTGGCTCTAACAAAAAAGCTCATGGACAAAGTGTGAGTCAAAGAAAACAAAAGAAAAACAAAACAAAATGAATCATTCTTACTTAGCTCATTTTACTGTTTTGTTACATTGTATTTGATAATATTTTATAATACTTTTGCTTTGCATTTAAGTGTTTTGCATTTCCTTTTTACTGGGTAGTTAGCAGTGACAAATGATGAACTCTAATGAAAGCAAAATTTAAGACCTGTATGTCATAGCAATGACTTGCAACGTGCAGTTGTCTAACAAGGGAGAGTAAATTCAATCAATTCTGAGTGGGAAAGTGGTGGTTGCTTTTTCTGCAGTTTTCAGCAAAACAAGCTTACGGCATGGTTCTGCTGGTGCTAGTAGTGATGTTAAGGAGGGAAAATTGCACAGCAGCAGACCTTACTTATGTCACCTTAAGTGACCATAACATCATCTTTTTGGTGACCTACATCCCTGTATTGCATGAAGGAGAACTGCCTAAGAACAGGATTGGTAGCACCTGGCCTGCCTCCTCTGTCAGGAAATAGGAAATTGCAAAGCAAAGAGTGAGTCTAAAACTGTTTTGCACGAGGTCAGACCTAGACATCTGAAGCTAGGTAAGATAGGTTCCCTCCCAGTCTACAGGATCCAATTTATTGTCCTTTAGTATGAGCTTAAAGAAATGACATCAGATAGCTTTTCAGGCTAATATGTTCAGATGATGTACTTCCGCTGTGCTTGATTTGTCTGCTTCAGGCACATTGGGTACCACAAGGAATCATTCATTTTCAGGGAAGATGGAATAAAAAATTGACCTCTCCAGGAGCAGTTTTATGACCAGATCTTTACCTGCTGACATGCAGGAGAGAAACAAGTCTTCCAAGTGCATTTTGTTCTCAAAGTAGTGGCTTATCTTACTTGCTCAGATAATGAACAAAAATGAAGTGACCTACATCACATGGCAACTTCCTATGATTTGCCGTGGTTTTTAATTGAAAAATATAAGGGAAGTCAGCAGTGCCTTCTCAGGCACAACTGTATTAGACAACAAAAGACTTACAAGGAGAAGGCAGTTCCAGCCATACACAGATTCTTTTAGCTGAGTTGCTTATACCTATTTTGTATTAAACACCCCTTATTCAGTTTGCTAGATATAGTTCATAGCTCTTCCGCTGTTCATGAAATACAAGGATCAAGGGACTATGGGTGGAGAAGAGCATTTTTTCTTTAAGGTTTTGAAACTCCCAACTCAGACATTCAGAAAACTTTCAATTTTCAGTCCTAATGCTCTCACAGGTTTCTCTTCCATATGGTTCTTTTCAATATAATTGAGTCTAAATGCCTGTAACCTGATCACATTCTCATTACAATTTTTGCTACATAAACTGACCTCACAGATGATTTATGGCCATTAGACTTTATAGTACATGATTCAAAGCTTCCAAGATATTTGGCACAGTATATAAATTGTGTAATTTATTTTGCATTAAAACTTAAATACTTGGCTATAGCGAAATATAATGTTCAGACCTGGTATGACATTACTTCTTTTAATTCTACATAATGCAGGGCTAACAACTGTACAATCCACGCGTCCCACCATCCCAAGCCAGTGTCTTTTAAATGCTCAAGGTCAAATTCTCAGTCTGAAGTAAAAGCTACATAAAAATCATCACAGTAGAAGAAATAGGCCAGAAGTGAAAGGATTGTAATTGAGAGAAGTCTCACAGGATATCTCTGTGCATTTGTATGTTCTGCATTGCCCTCCAATGAACCTTACAACGGTATGAAAGATGTAAAGACACAGATAACGGATGCTTGGTCAAATAACCTTCCAGAACCACGAAGCAGAGACAGACCGGGAAGGGACACATCACTTCTCCCTGTTGACCATAGCAGAAAATTTGTTCTTTAATTTTGTATTTAATGTGTAGCGTGGCAAGAGGTTGGATCCAAATAAGTGTGCAGACACTTCTTGCTGTACAACTGAAGTATTGTTAGTTTTTATTGTCCTTTTATGGCATCATAAAAGTTCACAGTGCCCTTCAGTGGGTAATGGGGAGAATGAGTGGTGGGAAAACAGCACTTTATGTATTTTTAGGCAAGAAATATTTATGAAGTCTCCTGTCGATGACGCTGAAAACAGCTACGAGTTAATATGTGTTTCATTGTGCTTTTTGCAGGTGCAAACATGGCCCAAGGCATAGGTGCTGTAAACACTATGGAGATAATTGCATCTCATATTGTATTAAAGTAAGTGCAGAAAAAATCAGATTGACAAACTCTGGCAAAGACAGGGTAAAAGTCTTTAGTCAGAAAAAGCATATATTTAGGAAGTGAGAAAGGAGTCTGTTACTCGTTCTTCTTGTATTGAAAATGTGACAAGCCTGAAAACAGATTTTCTCAATTTAGGACGGGGTGGTGGTGGGGTTAAAGTTCTCCGGTCTTTCAGATTAGCTGGAGAGAATGGATAACATAAAACCTGTGGGAAAAAATGGACTAGCGAGCAAGGAACTTGTTTAACTATGTGATGCACTTCGCGGCTGAGCCCACTTGTGACTCCACCCTAAATAAAGCACTTGGAATGTGCTGCTTCGGCAGCAGCGCGGGTCTGGCGCACGTGCAGCTGCGTGGGTCTGGCACGCTGCTGCCGGGCGCTGGGCTCGCTCCTCCGTTCATTTATTTTAAGGGCTCAGGGTAATGAGAGATTGGTCACAGTTGCTGCGCCCGGGAAGAGCTGTTTACGTCCGGTGGCATAATTCATCCTCCATTATTAATGTGATCAGCGCATTTTTTTCCAGAGGAGTACTATGTAGAGAATTTTTTTGGCTGGCATTGGGTTGGCACAGGTGGTTCCACCTGCTATGCCTGTTTTAGGCGTTGGTAAGACTCCAGAAGATCTCAATCACTTAATTTACCCGTTTTTATATATGGAGCAGCAAAAAATGGATTTGAGTATCTTCATATCCTTTTCATATATATTACTTTCAAAAATAACTTTTTAAAATTAGAATTTTATACACAGTTAATGTTATCTCAGAAGAGGTATGCTTGAATTTAGCATCAGAAGAGGACTAGCACAACATTTATTCATGTATGTTTATTAACAACATCATATTGTGTTGTATTAACACTCTTCTTACCCCGCAGTATGTTATATTGCGGGGTTACACAGTGTAACGTGGATATAAGTTGCGCTGGAGTTGATAGGATTTGGGATGGTGCTTAAGTGTTCTGATGAATTACGATGAGAATATGCAGTAGAGCATTCACGAATAGTTCAGGGTAGTTATGTCACTTTTCTGTTGTAGGTATGACATATATTTAACAGAATCCAGATTAAAATTATGATTTTACAACCTCTCACCACTATCTCAGTCCACTTGATGTTTCATTCATGGGCTCTTTTCTTCAAAGCATAACATCTTTGGGGACACAGACTTTCCATTTGCTTTGTTCTTGTTCGGTGCCTTGCCCAGTAACTTTACTGTTCACTGCCTCCTGGCCCACTTTGAATCCCATTTCCTGAGTGCTCAGCATCGTCTGGGGAGGAAACATTCCCTGTCCTTCATTTGCAGAGTACGCTGTGTTTTCCCCATAGATATCAGTGTCTGGCCTTCAGAATCAATGTCCAGGACTGCAGTGAATATTATATTCAAAACAAAGATTAAAATCAAGCAGAAGTGATTTTATGGGTTGATATGCTGCATTTCCAGATCTCTGCTGATGGTAGTATCTCCTAAAGTGCATCGTTTTTCATGGGTGCCTTGTTATAACTTCAGTCTGCTGCACTTTTACATAAAGTACTGTCTTTCATTACTTAGGCATATTTTACAGTAATTAGCTCTTAACTACTGTTAGTCCAGACTTGCTTCCTGAGCTTATTTATTAATCTCGCACAAAATCCTTATGCATTCTGTGCTGCCTGCTCAGCAGTCAAATCTGAGTACCCTCATAACACTGTACTATTTTACAAGCGCTGTTAGAACAAACAAGTAAGGATTTCTGTTATTGTAATGGAACTGATGCCTCTTCTCCATGGAAAACTGTCATAACCTGCTGGAAGAATGATTGTGTGTGTGACTTCATGGGTAAAGAGAGAGGTGATCTGACCATTACGGAATATAATGAGCTTGAAATGCCTTTAAAATAGAAAGGTGACCAAGAAATAAGAGTTAGTCTTGTTCGGTCGCTGTAGTGGAGTGACCCAAATCTGATTCCAGTTTGTGAGTTCCTCAGATTACAGTAGACCGTCCCCATGCTACTCTTTCTATCCTTTTTTAGGTGAGTAGGAAGATGTGTTAATGATGAAAAGAACAGGAAAACAAAAACGGGATATTTAGGAGTCTCTGCCCTATTCAGTTCTTTATTCAGCATCATTTTGTTCACATTTCATATACCCTCGAAAGGGGATGAGGGGAGAAGAGAACCCAATTGATAATGGAGCTGAACTAAGTCTTGACCTGACTAAAAATAATAATTTAAAAAAAGACATTTTTATAAGACATTTTACATGTGCATTTGAACTATACTTCATTCTTGTACCAGTCTCGTATAGTATCTTAGTATAAATTATTCTTGACTACAATAATATAATCAGGGAAATATCACTGAAGTGGCAGCCAGATCTTTGAATTTCCTGTCTTTCCTGTGACTTCTTTTTAAATTAAAACATGAGTGAAAAATTTTATTTTGATGTATTGGATTTTTAAAGATCCAAAATTCTTAAGGCGTTTTTAGTTCTCTCCATGGCTGTTCCTGGAATCGATCAGTAATAACTGTCAGCTGACACGATTTGAGCATGTTTTTGTAATTCCATATCTGTAAGGGAGCTTTCAAATCTGATAATGATCTGATGAGCTGCTTGTTGCCAAAATTTCCCCTCCGTGCTATATTTTCCCTTACCTTTGAACATCTCGTTTCTCATTATCGTATCTGTGCTTTAATTGTCATCGCATGCTCTTTTTTCTCCTGCTTCACATTTAAATGCACATTAGATACTTGACATAATCCGTGATAGCTTTTATGTAACATTTAGTAATAACATACCACCTGATTTCATAGACTTCCCTTCAAATTTTAAATACTTAAAATGCTTTGGGTTTGTAAATGTCTGAAAAGAGCTACCAGAAGCAGTCAAACAATATTTTTCCTCTCTTGTTATTCTACTTGGTTTCAGTGAGGAGACATTAGCCAGCAGTAGTATTCCAGTTGTCCATTTTTTCTGCTGATGCTGTCGATGACACCAGATGACCCTCACAAGTTACCTAATGACTAGGATGACCAAAAAGAATATGAGATTATTTTCTGGTGCTTGTAATCAATGCATTCTGTCTCTTGAAGGAACATGGGCAACCGTATACCCAGAACAAATCTTAAATATCTTAACTAATTTATTTTAAATACTTATTTTAACTAATTCCTAATATGTTGCAACAGGTTGACTGAGTTTTGGTATGTTGCTGAACTCTGTTTACATACATGTGCTTTTCTGAATTTGAGTTATAGCCAATATCTTGACTGTATTATTAACTTTTTAAGAAATCTGTTTCTCAAAAGGAAAAAAAAAACAGGTTTATTCAATGAGTTCTGCAGATACGTAGTTTCACTGTGCTGCTACTTCTGGCTGATCTCAGTCCCAGCTCAAAGTCTCTGTGGAGAAATGGCTCTTAGCAGATTTTTCTTCACTCACTTATGCTTATTATAGTGTCCTGCGTATACTCTACTGTTTTCTACCTCCATTATCATTTGAGGTCTTTTTATGGAAGAGAAAAGTTACAAAATTGTGCATTGACTATAAGTTGTAATACTTTCTGTGACTCTGAAAAACACCTATAAGTGTGATATGGATTCACCTGGTTGATTTAATGAGCTAAATAGAAAGATTCTGTGCACTACTTATTGCTGTTTGGTGCTCATCAAAACAGCCTCAATCCTTCAGTTCAGCACTTCTAAGTAGGCTACTCATAAAAATAAAATCACGGATATATTTGAGTGTTTCCAGTTGGAATTTATTTAAGTGTTTCCTAATGCAGTGTTCCTCGCCCCATCAGCGTAACCTTTCCTACAGCTGGGTGAAAATGTCAAACATACCATACTGTTTGTTCTCTTGTTTTGGGCTTTGTTCATAACTGCTGGGTTTAGGACTTTCTTTTTATGTAATGGTACCTGGTATCATAATCATCTAATTTTTTTGGAAGACGAGGGCTATGTACTTCACACTAGGGTACCTCTTCATTTTAGGGGCGAATACACGTTCATCTCAATTTTGACATTTTAACTACACAAAATTCACAGTGTATTTACATCTCTGCCTACCTCGCATACCTTTCAGTAGGCATTTTCATTGCACCATCAGAAAACACTGGGTCTTTAGCTGTTCAATATATACAATTTACATACAAGAGTAGCAGACAAAGAAGGGGAAATTCTTCATTCATAGCTACTGGATCATTGAATGACACAATATATTTTCTTCCACTTGGTTCTCATAAACCGCTTCTTGAGTAGCAGGGAGAGTAATTGCTTCAGGAAGAGTTTATTACTGGATTTTTAACCACAATAAAATTTCATAAGCTTTATGATGCATTATAAAGTTCTGTAGGAGGCAAAAATGTTTTGAGTTTCTGAGTTTTTGCTCCATCAAGCCCTCTGCCAGTTGTCCCTGTAACTGGAATTTTCTCGGTGTCCCTGAGTATCTTCTGAAAAATGAACTACAGAAATCATGAGCATTGGGTGCCTGCCTTATTTGCCAATGGTGAATGCACAGACAGTTTTCAGATAAGGTATCTTCCAACCAAAAAAATGATAGATTTTATTAAGAATGATTAGAGAAGTTCAGCCATAGGGTAAGAATAATGATAGGAAGCTTTGGAGGAAGTTATAAGAAACTGGGGAGAAGAATTTGGAAAGAAAAAGTCTGTGTGGTTTTGTGACGTGGTATAAAAAAGCAGATCTGTATCCAAGGTGGAGTAGTAAGAAAAATTCATTGGAACCCACGTTATCCTTACTCAGTAGCTCTGCACATAATCTTCCTTCCAGTTTCGCCCTTTCTCTTGCTGCAGGCGTCACTCAGCCTCCAGTTCGGTTGAGGGAAAGTACGGGAGCACGTGCCAAGCCATCAGGGTCAATTTCTAATTCTCACACTTTCTGAAATTTATTTTTTGTGGACTTTTTCCTCCTTTAGTGCTTTCTCCAGACATTTGAGTGTAGAAGTGCTCTTTTTTTCCACGGCATTACTTTCCTCTATATACCCATTTGTGGTTAAAAGCTGGTCAGTAACCTGGAAATTAAGTCATCAGGATTATTTCAAAGGACAGAATTTTGGAGCAGAAGAGAAATAGAGTTTGTCCCTTGAGGCTTTCCAGATATTCATAGAAATTAAAGGAGAGTCAATTGTCTATGATCTTATTGCCTTTGCTATTTTACAGGGGAATCAGGAAAAAAAAACTGGTCTTGAGTTTGAAGATGGGGATTCATTTTATATAGTATCTGCAGAGTGGGTTTTAAACTGCTCGATGTCAAAAATAAGTACTTCTGTAGATGTTTTTGCTTTTCCTTTTTCTGAATTTGTGGTTTCTTACCACAAAATCTTTCTTTCTTTTCTCCAGGGCTTCATTAGGATGTTTAGCATTGGTTACCTGATCCAGTGTTGCCTTCGGATTCCATCCACCTTCCGGCATCTGTTTACAGAACCATCCCGACTGTTTTCCCTCTTCTACAACAAGGAAAATTTCCAGCTTGGAGCTTTTCTGGGATCTTTCGTCAGTATATACAAAGTAAGCTTATAACATATGGAAATGACGAATGCCATGTTTTTTATTTCACTTTTCGGAATATCATGAAGAGCTAAAAAGTCTAGCTGCTTAAGATTACTGATACTGTTTGCTACAGCATCTCACCGACAAATTCTGTAGTATTGCAGTAATCAAACTGTAAATAGAAAACTAGTCTTCCATTCCATGTGTTTTTTCTATCATTTCTGAGTAAGCCAGATGGATTTTGCAGCACAGTATCAAGATCAGGAGATAGGGAGTACTTCAGAGAAAGTGAATTCAGATTTCAAAGGGACTTGATGTTACACAAAAACATTTTAGTGCAGACACAAGTAGTGACTGCAGTAGCAGCAATACTGTCAGAGAGAAGCCATTTGCAGATTTTTTTGGCTCAAATATCTGGAATTCTTACTTGACGCTAAGTAGCAGGAGATTGCAGAACGTATATCATGTGCAGCTGAGGAGACATTGCACTTACCACTTGGAAATCTACCCTTCTACACCATTATAAGATGACAGATTGCAAACTGAGACACGTCCATACAGCATTGTTGGAATTGATCAAATTATGTTTATTTATGCCAAAAGAGAATGTGACGAAGCACACGCCCTAAGGGAGAATATATTGCATAGTGCAGTGCTGAAGGGGCTTTTGCACTTTTATATGCTTAATCACACGTGTCATTTTTCAACTGCTACTTTACTTGCTCTGCAAAGTTAAGATAATTCTGTATTTTTCAGGGTAAATATTGCTTACTGAAAATTAAAAAAACCCAAGTGTTATTTGTAAACAAAACAGCATTTCACTTGACTTGCGGTCAGATTGAGAGACGAGAATTTGTAAGGATACAGAGTTTAAAATTTTTGATGGCAAAGAGCAACTGGGCTGTTCAGAGTTTATTTGAAAATCAAATTTTTGCTCAAACTTTAAGAAAATAGCCTTTAGAGAAAAGAGTATTTAAATTGCAAAAGCTGAAATTATTTTGATGTCTTTTAAAAGCTCCAATTGCAAATGTAATGTAGTTCTATAGATACTCATTTTACGAGGGTGACATACTCTGACCTTTATTTATAGTTTATTAAGTATGTACTTGGCACTGGTGGGGCCATACCTCGAATCCTGTGTTCAGTTTTGGGCCCCTCACTACAAGAAGGACCTTGAGGTGCTGGAGCGTGTCCAGAGAAGGGCAACGAAGCTGGTGAAGGGTCTGGAGAACAAGTCTTGTGAGGAGCGGCTGAGGGAACTGGGGCTGTTTAGCCTGGAGAAGAGGAGGCTGAGGGGAGACCTCATCGCGCTCTACAACTACCTGAAAGGAGGTTGTAGCGAGGTGGGGGTTGGTCTCTTCTCCCAAGTAACAAGCGATAGGACGAGAGGAAATGGCCTCAAGTTGCACCAAGGGAGGTTTAGACTGGATATTAGGAAAAATTTCTTTATTGAAAGGGTTGTCAACCCTTGGAACAGGCTGCCCAGGGAAGTGGTTGAGTTACCGTCCCTGGAGGTATTTAGAAGGCATGTAAATGTGGTGCTTAGGGACATGGTTTAGTGGTGGACTTGGCACTGCTAGGTTAACGGTTGGACTTGATGATCTTAGAGGTCTTTTCCAACCTAAATGATTCTATGATTCTACTTTCTGTTATTGTTTGCATTCCATAACTTACACAGATTTGGGTTGTATTATATTTTTCTCCCAGTTTGAAATAAGCATGTAGGGCAGCAGAGATTTTAGTCACTCCAAAAGACTGGACCACAGCCAAAAAAAAAGAAATGCTTGATGCATTTTGAATCCAAAGGAATTTCATTATGGACTGCTTTTAAAAAAAGTCCACCTTGTCCCTAAAAGCACTCCAAAATGCCATTGTAGGATTCTAGTAGCTGTACTATTAATATTTTGTGTTCCCCTTATTGTTAATTAATGTCAGCAAATATGGTTTTGCAGAAAATAAGTTGGCCATGGTAGCCTGGTTTCCTTTTTTCAATTAGTTTACAAGTTTGAGTAGGAAAGTTGACTGTCATAATTGCAATGTATCAATGGCTTTGCAAGGAATTTATTTATTTAAAATGTGCACTGTAAAATAGCTAGTGAGATCACATCTGTGGTACTTGTGTCCATTTTTGGACACAGATACCACTTCATTTCTTCTTTTAATTTTAATGTCTTTTTCAAGGGTGGATTCACCTGAGGGCCGCCAAGATTATTTGAGGACTGGGTCATACGATGTGCAAGGAGAAGCTGGGAGAGCTGGTTTTTAAGCTGGAGAAAAAAGGCTCAGGGGAGATTTTATTGCTACCTACACCTCTTGAAGGTGTGCAGTGATAGGTTGAACGGCAGTGGATACAAGCTGAAATGCAGGAGATTCCAAAGAAATATAAGGAAATAAGTTTTCATGTGAGGGTGGGCAAATATTGGAACAGGTTGCCTGGTGAGGCTGTGTAGTCTCCATCCTTGGAGATGCTCAGAACTCAACTGGGCAAGTTCCTGAGCTACCTGCTCAAATTAGACCTGCTTCAAGCTGGACCAGATGATCTCCAGATGCCCCTTCCAATATAAATCATTCTTTGATTCCATGAAAAGCACACATTAGATGGATTAAGAGGCTGACACACGTATCTCAAAGTAGACATCAGCGGGCTGCCATACTGAATTATATAATGTTCTCTCTGTGCCATCAGCACTGGATTTGGCCTTACTAAGCAGATCTCGAACCATTTAGAAGCAAACAGAAATTTACCAGGGATAAAATTTGGAGACAAAGTATGGATTTCCAAAACAGTTAAAAAAAACAACGCAGAGGAGATGGTAGATGTGGAACAATCTGGATCATTTGTTAACCTGCAGTCATCCAAATGAAATATATTTTAATGCAGCCTGAGACACAATTACTTACATCCATTCTGGCCTGAATCACGGTGTATTGTTGTCTGTGTCAACAAACAGGTTATTATGTGTTTCAGTGCGTCTTTTAATCATATGCAGTTCTAACTTTTTAGATTAATGTGTTTTCCTGGTTCCAGAATTTACTGGATGTATGGAAAAATCTCGAGGTGTTTGGTGTGTAGTTGAAAACAGACTTTATCATGGGAAAGAACAAATTAAGATGATGTGAATTCAAGATTAGCTTTGGAATTAGATTGGTATTCAAATTAGATTGATCTGCTCTCTGATTTTGAAAGAAATGGTAGCGGTAAACTGTTAATTAAAACACTGAAATGTTTTAGGTACTGTGGATTATGGGTATTATCACACTAGACTCTTAATTTGTACTGTGTGCTATATTACTATCTTATAAAGGAGTATCTTCAGTCTATGCATTATGAAAGAGAAATAACTAGGGCTAATCCTGCTCTCTGTTCACCTACAGGGTACTAGTTGCTTCCTGCGTTGGGTACGAAACCTAGATGATGAGCTTCATGCACTTGTAGCTGGTGAGTCCATGACAAGAAGTTTATATTGCCTCTGTTGGGGCTCTGCAAATACTTCTCTTGTCTATCCTCCCATTCCCTTTTCAGACTTCTGTGATGAAAATAGGACTGTGTACATCAAGGTTGTGTCAAAGCGACAGTGGTGTTTCAAGTAGCTTCAAATAAAGAGTTGCAATTAAAATTGTAAGGCAAATTCAATCAAATGGTGTGTTTTTTACAGTCAGCTTCAAGGACAATATATTATCGTATGCACAAATGTGAACTTGTCCTTTATTTTCCAGCTGTAGAGATGAGAGGTTCAAATATTGACTCTTCCATACGTGACAGAATACACCTTTGAAAGGATGGGCTTCACTGGATCTGAAGAAGGACCCTTTTGCCATGAATTCTGTGTGGTGGTGCAAGCCCTTCCCTGCTGCTTGTGCCTCTGTCACGTATTGGAACCTCAGAGGTCTCTCTTCCTTGTGGGACGAGAGAGGAAATTTGATGCTGTGCTCCTGAGCACTGAACTACAGATTTATTTCAGGGTTTCAAAACTCTCTGTTTTTTTAATGACATAAACCATATTTTGATGGGCAGCACAGGAACATCACTGAACTTTGTTGTAGCAACAGAAAGCATAATCTTATGCAGTGTCTATTGAGCTGACATACTGCAACAGCAACAATAAATCACAATCTTAACAATGCTTTTGTTTTCTAATTGTTACAGGGTGTCTAGCAGGAATTTCTATGATGTTTTACAAAAGTACTACTATCTCTATGTATCTGGTGTCCAAATTAGTAGAGGTAAGATATTACCCTCCTAACAGAGTTCTTCATTTCATCTATTTTTTCAAGGCACAAAAAGAAAATTAACTTCACAGGCTTTGTCAGACAATTCCAGTATAATACAAAGTTGTGTGGCGGTGGTGTGTTTCAGTACATGTGTGCCAAGAGGCAGTGCCGTTCTGTGGTCTCATTTCTTTCTTATTTTCTTTTCTGTGACTCATTTTAAAAGTCCTTTATCCACTGTTCTGCATGTATACTCTCCATGAATTTTTTTAATCTCCTGATAGCCCTTTGCTTTGTAGCTTTTGCAGATTTTTTGAATCTGGAAGTTCCAAGAATGTCTATTCTGCCAGAAACATAAATCAGACCTAGTCCTTAATTGCAGATTTATTGCCAAAAGCTACAGCTTAACTTCCTGCCTTTGTTCCCTAATTTTGGCATTCAACAATCTAAGATAACTCAAAATAACTTAGGTTTTAGTCTATAGTTGGAGTTGTTTGTCAGTATACTTCAACTGATTAAATTCCCAGCTTTGCAATGAACTTCGTTCTAATTACTATTTTTCAGACTTGAATTATTTCTATGAACTTGTTAAAATTAGGAGCCCGGGAAAAAAAAAGTTTGTAGAGTTTGGGTATGTTAATTATACTTTGCTAACCAGCTTTTGATTTCTTACTGTGATTTTTCCATAAAATCGGGACTTAGTCATGGTTATTTCCCCAGTAGCACCACTGGAAAAAGTTGAGAGCGTTCTCTTACTATGCATCATCCCCGAATCACAAAACTTTCTCCTGCAGACCTTGAGGGCCTCGTTCCCTAGTGATACTTATCCACCTCCATTACCAGAGCAGAATTCATTTCAAAGAATATAAAAAAAAGGAACCTTTTTTTTAAAGTATGAAATTAAATATAAAAAGGGAAGATATACTCTGTTTATTCTTGCTCCTTGTAATCCTAGATCAAGCTCTGAAGGTAGTTCACTTGTTGGTTATATAAAAGCAAATCTGAGTTATCCATACTGACTTTTAGAACACTAGTTGTAAAAAAACAATATTATCTTGTATTGCTGATGGTTTTCTCTGGACTTTGAGACATTGTGGCTGGAGTGAAATAAGAAAAGTGCTGTGTGTTCTTTCTTTCTTTCTTTTTTTTTTTTTACTACTTTTATCATCTTACGCAAGCAAAGGGTAACTGACCAAAGAGGCGTGTGCTGCTTTGGAAGGTCAAGCTGTGCTCAGGAAAATAAACTTTATGTGTTTTCTCAGAAAGAGAAGTATGTGATTTCAAGCTGTTTAAGAACAGTGAATATTCACTTTGTTGGAATAGTTATTGCATTGTTCTTTTGCTTTTTTAAAATGAATTTAACACAGCAAACTTTCCCTTTTTTATCTTTAAGATCTGTACTACCCTTTTAACACCTAAGCTGTTGCTAAGTCCTGTTCTATACATTCATAGCCTCTTATTCTATTGACCTTGGATAACTTCTATAAGCTATCTCAATCAATGTCACGTTTGTGGACATATACAAAAATATATGAGCATAGATTAGTAATGTTGGCATGTTACTTTGAAAAGGTAAAATAAATAAAAAGTAAAAAGCTACTTTTACTTTGTTCATTTTGTTTCGTTCAGCATTTCTTGTTTATTTTCATAGACTATGTACTTCAAAGGCATTGAAGCAGGGAAGGTTCCCTATTTTCCTCATGCAGACAGCATCATCTATGCCATTTCTACATCGATATGCTTTCAGGCAGTAAGTATGTTGTCTTCTAACAGAACATGAAGCTCTTCTAGTTTAAGTCAAATGTTGAATGAAATGAGGAGTACAGGGATACAGTGATATAGAAAAGAGAGTGTGATGTAGTGATTCCAGCAAGATGCTGTGAATCGGGACTCCTGCATCCCGCTTTTGAGTGTCACAGTGGGAAGATCGTTTCTAGGACTCAAATTTCTCGTATGCTTATAGCTGATTACATTATACAAAGCACTGAATTCTTTGGAAAGGATCTCAAAATGCATTGCCCGAGAAGATGAATATAAATGTATGGGCTTTCATAAGCGTATGAATAGACTGTTTCTCAAGGAAACAAACAATATATTGTAATATTTTATGCCTTTTTAATCAACTAGAAGTTTTCACTTTCATCTAACTTGAATTAAAGTTGCCTATTTGAAAGAATCTGCAAAAATTAGTAAGAAAATCTGAAGTTTTGTGTTTGAAACAAGCTGTAGTTACCATCTTTTGCACTTTCCAAGTCAATTACATGCCTTCACCCTCAGTCCTTTTATTGGCTGCATCAGCTAGAAAAGCTCCTTTTCAGTGGTACCCAAATTACTCCAGCATTCCACTACATCTCTCCATTTCTAGACCTTCTGCTTGAAACTTCCCACTGAATGATTTCTGGACCTCCATAACTATATGTATTTTTTGTCCCCCTCAATAAAGAGAATATAAAACGACCCTAAAGCAGTCTTCTGCTGTCTCGTGGTTAACAGGACAGTTCCACTCCTCCACCTCATTGTTCCCATACATTTGGGAATATCTCTCATTCTAGTATCAAAGTGAACTGATATTTTAGTGCTTGGGATGTGACTAAAGGTCTGCAGCATTGAAATCTCCAAAATACTATTGGCAAGGACCATCGTATGAGGCTAACAGAAATAAAGTTAATATGAGAAAAGAGGAAAGGGTTTTTCCATTACTTAATAACTAGTTGGAAAAGGAGCCCAAGACTGGAAGTAAATTACTAGGTTTAGGAGGGAAGAAGAAGGAGGGGGAAATTAGCAAAGGGATCTATGCTGAGATGTTTGTTACTCACTATATTCATAAGTGGAATACCTGGAAAAGTAATGGAATAGAGAGAAGACAGAATTTTGGTTATATAACATTATTTAAGATATGTAACATGAAATGACTGACTCCAGGAAATGGTAGATCACAAAATGCAGGGTGAGTGGGGGGTAAAATAGCAGGTAAATTTGGCATCCACAAGTGCAAAATCACACATGTAGGAATAATAAGGGTTATTGTTGCTTTGTTTGCAATGAGATTTAAGTTAATTGCCACCACTTCTGAAAGATAGTCTTCTGGGAATATCAGTCTGTGCCGGTGGTGGTCATACAGAGCATCGAATTCAGCTGTGAGTGCGCTGACTGCGCTGGACCTTGGCAGGTCATCACAGCTGCTTTCGGTCCATGAATCATGAGATGATTTTTAAAAAATTAAAAAAAAAAAAAAAAAATTTCCATAACTATCCTTTCGCTGTTTTTTGGCAACGTAATGTAGCAGATGAAGCTTTTGCCTGATGCTGTCAGCTGGCTTTGACAGAATACTCTCCTTGCAGGCTGTCATGGAAGTTCAGAACCTGAGGCCTTCGTACTGGAAATTTCTTTTACGACTAACAAAGGGCAGGTATGTAATTGGGCGTGTGTTATGGCTTGTCTAAACACGCCATTGATCACATTCAGCTTTCTATGTCATTCGCTGTCAACAGCAGAGCTGTAGGAGTCCGTAGGGGCTAATTTCCTGAGTATTTACTTCGCTTTTCAAATGGTTTCCAGTCCACTTGAAGTTCTTTGCTGCTGAAGCGACACTGCTAGGTTTAGTCTAATGACAGGAGCAAAGGTTTAAATATAGTTAAGATTATTTAGCAGATGAGTGTTTTACTTGAAGGCTTTTTTATCTTTAGTTCACTTGGAGGGTGGAATGCTTTCAGATTTCAGTGGAATATGAAGAATCCGGTAAACAACTGTACAAGTTGAAGAAATCACTTAGTGTGTACACTGATCGACAACACGGTATTACTACATGTTTAAAAGCGTTACTAGAAACGTCAGAGTATTTCCTAAGAATTCTTTGAAGATTCAGTAGTTTTTTATAGGACATCTATTTCAGTTGGGAAAGGAATTTTTTTTCTTGGACAACGAGTGAAAAATTTTCACTGATTATAACCATAAATTTACACTGTAATATTTTATTGGATATTTTTTCTCTTATTTGCGGCGGGGATCTAAAATGCTTACCTACTAAAATAGATTTTGCTGTATCTGATTTGTAAAAATACAATTTAGTGAAGTGTACACTATTATACTGATGCACTGTGTAGAAACTGATGCAGAAACAAGGCATCCAAATCATGATGTAGATCAGTTTATGAATGGGATTGTAAAAGGTAATGTTTGTCGTGACACTGAGCTCTCCAGACTATAAAAATAGAAGTGAAATCAGAGGCCAGTCCCTGGAGCGTGTTGAACCTGCAGTCCCCAAGGCACAGAACACTCTTAGCTGGACGTGAGGTGACTGAATACATTGCTAGACGTAGTGGGAAGCTTTCCTTGAGATGCCTGGAGGCAGTCTGCAGGCAACCTCTGAGGCTGTACAAACATGATACAGGGGATGATGTCAGTGCAGATGTCCAGTTCTGGCTGCATTTTTCCCTCTTGTGCTAATCCTAAGATAGCTCTAGTTGAAAAAGAGGAGGGAAAAGAAATTCTATTCTGCTCATTTATTTTATCTGAAGTAAATCTCTGTAATAGTAATTTTGACACTGTTTCCATAGAGGTAGATTCTTTTGATGTTTCATAGGTCTTTCACTCAACAATTTTGAAGACTAAAGGGATGGAAATAGATTGTAACACCCATAAAATTGTTACCCACTCTTGGTCAGGCATGGCCGGAGTTTGCGAGGCTGGGATGAGAAAGAGGAGTAGTATATTTTGGTTTGACTTTTTTTGTGATGTTAAAAGTAGAAAGGGACTCTCTCCTTTCCCCTTTTCCACAAGTTGTGTTATATAAAGTGTATCTACACAAAGCACTATTGATCAGATTTGTCAATTTTTTTTTTTTTTTTAAATCTTTATTGCCCGAGATGAAAAACTTGTAGTCTCTAAACAGTGCAGGCTGAAGCCTGTATTTCAAAGATTTGGATAGTCTTTCATGAAGTTAAATAATTTTAATAATTTTATAAATAAATTCAATTAATAACT